CCATCATCACAGAATCAGACCGGCAACAGCACACGACCCCAGCAATACAGCAACCACCCCTCTTCCTCGTCACTCCAGAGCACTTCATCCACGTCAGCCTCGACGTCGACCTCGGCGTCAGCGGCGGTCCCCATCGCACGGCGCGACTCGCGCAATCGACGCACCAGCTGGACCGTCATCGACAAGCAGCGCGCCGCCCCAGACTCGCTCGACCAGACACCCATCGCCGGCAGTCCACCCACCGACCTCGCGGATGCCGTCGCCGCCGGTCTCGCCCTCGATCGCGCCAACAGCGGTGGCAGCGGGGCCGGCTTCCAGCTCGTCGACGACGATCCGAGCCAGCTCGAGAGTGGAAGCGACACCGAAGATGTCGACCTCGACACGGGCAAGACGGTGCGCTGCAAACGCTCGCAACGCGCAGCGCGCAAGCTCAGCCCTGGAACCAGCGAGGCGGAGACGCTTCGTCGGTCGTTGCGCCCCGACCTGGACCACCTCGTTCGAGACCCCGCCCACGCCCTCACTCGTCTTGCTGCACAGTGGTCTTCTGCCTCTGCGCACCGTCCAAGTCCATCCACCGACAACACTCCCGAATCCGTCCCGCCACCGCTCACCACCACCAGCGGCCGAGGCGTTGCACCCACACCGACAAAGCACGACTTCACCTTTGATCCCATCGCTGCAGCCGGCGACGGGCTCATCATGACTGGTCCCAGCTTTGCAGACACGGCGGCGTCATCGAATCGCGGGCTGTCCGCCTCGTCGTCATCCGCTTCCTACTTGGACGCCGCTGCAAACGTGGCAAGTGCAGACGCGAGCTTCAGCATCGACGGGACAGGCCAAAGCACCAATGGCGCAGCAAGCAACGGCAGCCTCGCACGCAAACGCAGTGTGCGCACATCTCGACGCCGACAGCAGCTCCTCAGCTGTCTGTCCAAGCAGAGCGTCGATATGGCGCTGCTCCGTACGCTCGCATGGGCCGGTGTCCCCGACGAGCTGCGGCCCATTGTATGGCAGCTGCTGCTCGGCTACCTTCCGGCCGTGGCATCCGTTCGTGCGTCCACACTGTCGCGCAAACGAGCCGAGTACGCTGCCGGAGTGGAGCTGGCGTTCGCCAAGGGCATTGCAGCACTCGATCAAGCCATTTGGCACCAGATCCACATCGACGTGCCCCGCACCAATCCAGGCATCCGCCTGTGGCAGCGCGAAGCAACCCAACGATCGCTCGAGAGGATCCTGTACGTCTGGGCGATCCGACATCCAGCGAGCGGCTACGTCCAAGGCATCAACGATCTTGCCACCCCCTTCTTCGAAGTGTTTCTCAGCGCCTACATCGATTCGGATCCCGAGTTGTTTGACGTGGCTCTGCTGCCGGCCAACGTGCTCGAGGCCATCGAGGCCGACACGTTCTGGTGCCTCTCCAAGCTGCTCGACGGCATTCAGGACAACTACATCTTTGCACAACCGGGCATTCAGCGCCAGGTACGCCGCTTGGGAGAGTTGGTGGCACGAATCGATGGTAAGTTGACCACTTGTAGGTCAAGCTGTTGGCTTCGTTTCTGCTCACTGACCTACTCGATCTCTCTGCTTTATGACCATGCGATGCAGCGCCATTGCACGCTCACTTGCAGGAACAGAACGTCGAGTACATGCAGTTCGCCTTTCGTTGGATGAATTGCTTGCTCATGCGAGAGATGAGTGTGCGCAATATCATCCGAATGTGGGACACCTACCTGGTAAGTCGAACGAAGAGAACGCCTTGTCGTCAGTGCAGTGTCGGATGTTGACCCACTGCCCTTGATCTGATCCATTCCTCTGACTCGACATCGCAGGCCGAGGGACCAGACGCCTTCTCCGACTTTCACCTCTATGTCTGCTCCGTGTTTCTGCACAAGTGGACGGACAAGCTCCGGACGATGGACTTCCAGGGCATCATCATGTTCCTGCAGTCGCTGCCTACGCAGAACTGGTCCGACAAGGACGCAGAGATGCTGTTGAGCGAGGCGTTCATGTACAAGACGCTGTTTGGCAACACGGCGCATCTGAACAAGTGAGCGCACGAGCCTACAAACCATTAGCAAGCACACATGCATCAAAATGACAGCATCGCATAGCAGTTTGCTTGCTCCAGCGTGTAGAGCTGTGTGATGTGCTGTGAGCGAGCCAAGGTCGGCTCGGATCTCGGATTTCGGAATCGAAGACACCGAGAAGGCGGAATTTTTTGGTGTTCGCGTTCGAGCCATTGTTTCTTCTTCTTCTTGTCCCTCTCATCATCTTCCCTCAACCCTCTCTTCACAACCTCTCTCTCGCCGACGTCCGCGGATGCTTCGTTGCATATCAGGGCTATTATAATGTCTTGACTTGGTGATGAGCTGGATCGTCCCCACAGCACAGGCTGCTAGGCCTGGCGGCTCTGCTCTAGCTCGACCTCGGCGCGCTCTCATTCCTGCCTCTTGTTCGAGCTCATCACGGTTGTCCATTCGGGTCGCACCAGCAGGTATTTCTGGCAGATTCTCGACATCGACGAATGTCCAAAACGGAGGATCCCACCACCATCGACGACGCACCTCGAAGCTCGACAGCGCCGTTCAGACCAAGACAGCAAAGCTGCAACGGACTCGAAGGGCGTCACCGCAGCCAGCTCTGTTACGTCTAGATCCAAAGCATCCTATCCTTCCATCGCTGACATTGGCCTCTTCACGCGACGGAGGGGGTGCTCAAGGCGGCCTCAATCAACGACGAGCAAAGCGGCTGAGTAGCTTGCATGTTGCGCTCCAGACCGGCTCGGCCGATGCAGTGTGGTCGGCCTATCTCGACCTGCGACAGAATCACGGAGCAGACGAGAACTACTCTTTCACCTACAACTCGGCCTCCAGCAGCGTCTTGACCCCGGACGAGTTCCGCTCCGTGGTCAAAGTGGTGAGCAACGAGGCGATGCGCACCAAGCGAGGTCTCAATCGCATCCTCAAGCTCATGTCAGACATCCGAAGCGAGCAGCGTCGTCTGCTGACCCAGCTTCAGCACGCTTCCGATGCAAACGATGCTGCTCGTGCTCGAATGCTCAAGAGCGAGCTCGAGGACTGGGACCATGTCGTGTCTCCAAAGCTTCTCAACGCCACCATATCGCACATTGGCCGGAGTCTCCGCAGCGTCGGCTTGGACGAGATCGATCAGGTGCTGGACCAGCTACTGACCTACGAGGCCAACGAGCAATGCAGAAGGAATGCATCTCGCCACGAACAGACATCATCCAAGCACATATCACCGCTCTACTCGGCAGGACCACTGGATCACCTGCGCACGGCCATCTTGTCGCCCACCGTTCGAATTGCGCTGAGCAAGAAGCGAGGCAAACAGCGCCAGCCGGACTTCCCAGATCTGGCCACTTACAACACGATCCTCGACGTGATCACACGCACGGTGCATCGCAGCGCTACCAACCGCCGTTCCGCCTGGGAGCCGGCGCAGGCATACGACGAGGAAGAGGACGACATGATGGCCAAGTTCTCCGAACAGCAGCGCGAGTCGCACTCTGCCGAGCTTCACACGTCGATCGCGACGAAACTGCGCCGCTTTGATCTCGATGCCGATTCGGTGCCCTTGCACGCGGATGCATTCGAACGCGCGGATCGACTGTTCCATTCGGTGCTGGATCGCATGCAGCGCAAGAGCGGGATCGAGCCGGATGCCATCACGTTCAACATCATGGTGACCATGTACTGCCTGCTGGACCGGTGGGAGATGGTGCATCGAGTCGTTCGTATCGCCAGCGAGCAGGGTGCGCTGCAGATCGACTGCATCAACAACGCGCTGGGACATTGGCTGGTGCGAGGTCCTGCTTCGACGAGCGCGGCTCGCAGGGACCACACTCTGGAGGCAGACGCGGTCGACAGCGCTGTCGAGGTGTATCGTCAGCTGCGGCAGAATCTGGTGCATGCTGAGCTGGCGTCGCGACACTCTTGCATCTCGTACGGCAGACGTGGCGCCGACGCACACGACACGACCGGCACCGGCAACGAGAGCGAAAGCGCACACAACGATGCACTCGGACCGCTCAGCTGGCCGGATCGGGAGGATGTACCGTCCGCTCGGTCTGCAAGCAGCTCCTCGATGGCGGCGAAAAGCGATGCGGTCGAAGCTATCCTGGGCATTCCGAGGCTTCCTCTAGATGCCATGCCAGACGAGATCACTCATTCGCTGATGATCAGCAGCCTGACGCGAGAGGGGCGATTCGCAGATGCACTGAGCGTGTTCAAGGACCTCGTCTCGACGCCCGTGCGTCGAGTCAGCCGAGATGCCGATGCCAAACCCAACGGCACGGAGGCGGGGGAGAGCAAGATGCGACCCACGCTGGCCATCTTTGACAGCTTCTTCCGAGGCTTTTCGCGGCACGGTCGACCGAGTAGGGCAACCCGCTTTGACGCGCAAGATCCAGAGAGCAGCACGTGGGAG